ATGAGACCTTTCATATACATGTCGATCGTAAATTCTGATAAAAAAAAAATTGTTTTAGAAACATGCATCATGAGTATGAAATTATATGGAGAAATTCTCGACTTAAAATAATATTTTTAATTTCAATGATTATTAAACTAAACAATTTTAATAGATTTCCCATCATAATTTTATTTTATCAACAATTAATGCATAACTCGTCGATTTTAGCCTATAATATTCTAGAGAAAGGACTTAAATGCTTAAAGTTGCCATTCCATGTAGTAGTAGGATTGAATAAGACGTGTAGCTGTGTTAATCTAAATTAAAAGGATACAAATGATCGTAACTCAGCTCTTCAAAGACTAACCACAAATTTATTAAATCGTCTAGTGGACTTCTTCAGAAGAGTATACAAAATGGTATATCCCATCTACATGTAGACAAAAGCTTGATTTAATAAATAAATATGGTTAGTGCTGAGTTTTCTCGTCATTCATATAGTAGTAAGATTGTACATTTAAATATTTGAATGAAATAGGCCTAAATGAAACGTGTCTAATAAATTATCCTTAAAAACATTCTGTTTTATTAGCTTTTTACTGTTGTAACGCATGCACGGTTATGACCGCATAGGCGGCACACTGTACATTACAGTATCTTCCAAAAGTTTCTTTTAAACATTTCTGAATTGTAAATGGATTCATATAAAAATACATTAAACTGCGATTTATTTAATCTAATCAAAGTGGTACCTAAAGCAAAATTTACTAGAAGACTAGGCTGAGTGATGTATTGAATGAAGAAAATGATAGATCAGTGGAATGTGTCAAATATTATTTTTTTTGTAGCTAAAAAGCTTTATTTTTTACATGGACTATAAGCAGATATTTATCGATCAAGCTGTAGTAACCAAATGTGAGGTAGGCCATATATAATAAACCCATCATTATTGGCATACACTTCGCCTTACAAATCAATCAATCAACCAAACAATCATTAAACACATTAATTAATCAACCATTGAAAGAACTATAACGCCATATTCCATAAGGCAAAATAACAATTATTGTTCAATTTCGATTTATTTAATATAATCAAAGTGGTATCTAGAGCGGCGGAAGGTGTCAAATATTAAAATGTTTGTTATAGCTAAAAAGCCACTTTATTTTTTACATGGACTATAAGCAGACATTTATCGATCCAGCTATAATAAACAAATCTTGTAAAGTAGAATAAGAGAACTATAATGCCAAATTCCATAAGTTAAAATAACATGGATTTTTCACCTTATAAAAATAGATTTTTAGCTAATTGGCATTATCAATACTATTATTATACTATCTGTCATTCATTTTTTTTGTCAACGTAGTTTATCTACTGTATGTTCTTCCATGTTAAAAAAACAATTAAATAAAGAAGTATTTTAATATTATGCCTTTTACTTATTTTCACTTTGAAGCCTCTTTCTGTAATTACTGAGGCCATGACCAATTCGATTCCCGCTAGCGTCTATTTTACGGTGCGATAAATATACTACCGACTTATCATTATCATCATCATCATCATCACCTCCACCACCACCACCACCATCATCATCTCTACCATAACCATCATTCATGATTTTCATTGCCATCATCATCATCAACAATCATCATCATCATCAACATTATCATTATCATCCTCATTATCATTATCATTATCATCATTATCATTATCATCATCAACAACAGCATCCCCACCACTACCACAGGCCCGTAGGCAGGATTTTCGATGGGGAGGTGCGTTTTGCAACCGAAGTTGACCTTACGATGGGCGACTGCCCAGGGATCCCCGCGAGAGTGGGGCGAATCTTCTGGAAGCTCTGACAAATTAGCATTTTGAGGGCCTTTTCTAATGGATTTCTAAAATTCATAATTTGTAATATCCTATTTAAATTTTCATTCATTTGAGTATTGTTTAGAGACCTACAGTAAAGCAGGAGAAATAGAGGGTGGGGTGAAGGGAGGAACTTGCACAGACAGATGGTCAATACCACCTCAGCCCCACCATGGTTGGGGCTGAGGTAAGACAATTTATGATTAAGGCACATCAAAATGGCTGGAAATGGCACTCTCAGACAAACTTTAATTATGATTTTTCTTTTTTCTCCATTTCTTTTATAATTTTTGGGGGCTCTCTCCCCTTGAATCCTACTGTGAAATTGTAATTTTTCATGTTCTTTACATCTGTAGGCCTACAGATGACATGGATCAATCACTAGAGCTGATAGTTTCCATCAGATTTCGTAGCACATTATTAAAAATCAACGGGTAGAAGAATGGGCAAAAAATGTAATGCATACTATAGCATTTTGCGATAATTAGGAACGATTTTAGTGAAATAATATGTTTTAAAAAGTGGACTGTTTGAAATTTGGTGGTCAGCGGCAGAGGCCTGGAGGGGGTTTGTGAGAGAAGCGATAAAGCGCATTTTGAGGGTCTTACATTAATACATAATAGATTTCTCAAACACATAATTCATGAATATTTCATTTAAATTTTCATTAATTTGGGTGTTTTTGGGACCTGAAAAAGTAACGTTATTATGTCCTGTACATCTGCAGGCTTATATATAGCATTCTTCAGTTATTATATAGATCAACCAGCAATCACCGGAGACGATCAATTTCTAACAAATTTCATACCACATTATTAAAAATCAACGGTTAGATAAGCTGGCCAATATAATGCAATGCATGCTATAGCATTTCATGATAATTAGGAACGATTTTGTGAAATTATAGGTTTTAAAATGTGGACCTTTTGGAATTTCGGGTTGGGGGGGGGGGTGCGTCCGCACCCTCTTCAACCCCCCCCCCCCACGGGCCTGTGTAACCATCATCATCATTACCATCACCATCAACAATTATCAACACCATCAATATCTCAATATCATCATAACCACCACCACCATCATCATCATCAATATCATAGCACGACCACCACCAC